TTTTTATAATAACGCATAAGAAATTAAATTTGATAAATGCATATTCGAGCAGTGAAAAAATTCTCGTATTCCGAATATAATATGCAAAATTTATCGTGAATTATATTGTGTACAAATTGACGATATAGACGTATCATTATTTTCCTTAATGAAATTTCTTCCACATTTCTTTACATATAATTTAGATATTTATTATATATAATATATATATATAATATTTATATTTATATGTATTATATTCCACATTATACCAAACAGAACAATTTAATTATTCATTATAAAAATTATAAATTTTGTAATTATATGTTGTTTTTCGTATAGTTACCTATACAGTTGCAACTTACCAATGTCAAAAGCATGGCGTTTGCAAACCGGCTGCCAAATTACTGAAGATTAGGTGCACAACTTCTGTCAGTAATACAAGTCTATATGTGCGCTGAGTGCTAACGTTGAAAGGAAGTTGCAACTTGTTGACGTAAGGCAATTCAATCGTTTGATCGGTAGCATCTGCATCTTCGAGAACGACTCCCATGGAATATGCAATGATACTTATCACATGAAGAATAAGTATTGTGTTAGTGATACGATCCGATAACTTTGCTTTACGTATCATCACGCGCAAACTTACATCACTATTAGCGCAATCCTTCCAGTCATTCACGATTAACGCCAAAGTTTCCATAAATTTTCTGTGAATAATTGCATTTTCTGATTATGATGTCAGAAGAAATCACAGATAATCTCTCCAAAAACTGTACCATCCCTGACTTATAAAAAATACCGCTTTTTTTTGTACAAATTTCATCATGCATATTTTTACAGTTTTCTATCATTTTTCCCCCGAAACAAAACAGCAATAAATGAATCCATTGTATCATTATAAAGAAAGATAGTCCATTCAATTTTTCTAAATTTGATTTTAATTTACGCTTTTATAATGGGTTTACAGTGTAATTAAATCTATCAAGAAATAAATAAGCGATAAAAAATTATTTCTAATTAATAATCTCATACGAATTGTCTGCTAAATATTACTTATTTATTTTACTTACTGCTGATTTATCCAAAACATAACGAGTTTAATCAATACTTTGACGTGCGCCAGAAAGCTGCATAAGCAATCCACCAAGTTGAAAAAATTCTCGGAATTTAAATGCGTCGAGACATATAAGTAATGACAGAATCCGATGAATGCTAATGTAACTATCCAAAACAGTCTGTTAATTAAAATAATTGATCTTCCTGGCCACACACCGAACCAAGGTAGCATAAACATAATTACAGGGCTAATTGTACTTTTACGAGTCATAATCTTATATTTCTCTTTGTGTTCGCTTCAAGTGCATTAGAAAATATGTAACAAAATCAAATTGAGATAGCAAGAAGCTACTCTGTCGCTCAATATGTCTTTCGATGACAGCACAATGTATATCATTTAATATCTATGTAAAGACTGACTGGCTCTGAAAGATGCACCCTCGGAAAATTGACGGATAAAGTTGCTCATTAAATATTTTTGATATGCGTGCAGGCTTGTGTAATACAATATCGTCGTGTTTCTTTGTAATTTTTTGCAGCTAAGGAAAAAAAGAATATGTAAGAGGTATTTTTTTATTACTTTGGTCACTTACATTGTACTTCATAATATTGATGAAGCGCGTACGTTAAATACGTAATGATACGTGCAAAGAGAAATGTGTACTTCTGTGTTATCGACGAAATTAAAATTAAAAATACACTTTTGTTATGGCATAAGATAAAAAGAATTTCATCTCATTAGTTATGCTACCGCATTAAGACTGTCGATTGCCTGCACTATTGTGCAGAAATGGTGTACGAAGATTTATTTAATATAAACTATACAGCATATTGCATGATATCTGTAATAAAAGGTAACTAAATTTACCAGAATACAATATTTAAATAAATTGAATAACGTTTAATTCTTTTTTAAACGCAATAAAAAAATTTAAAAAAGGATAACATTTAATTATTAGCTTTGCAATTAATTAAACGCAATCACAATAATTCGATATACTCAACAATATTACTCACTGTTATAATAAAAAAGCAAAGGCAACAAATCATCACTATATTTGACATACGATATATGTATAGAGACATTTGAAATGTTTCGAAAAATTGATGGTTTTTTTCTGCTTTTGAATAATTTTTTGTTATTGTGATGATGATTGATTTGTTCTCGTAAAACGCAAAATGCATCAATAATCACAGAATATCGATACCGGCTGCATGTAAGGGTTGAGAATGAAGATTGCATTGTCTTTTCGTGGAATCGACTAAATATTCGCGAATGCTAAAGAAAAAAAAAACAAAACAATCGAGAAATAATATTATCAAAGTGCATCGAAATCTGATAATATGAGTATCTGGTTTTAATTTTTATATCTATTAAAGTGATTGCAAAACGCATACAACGATTAGTTGCTACGCCGACTAATCCCACGATTATCATTCAAATCATGCGCAACCTCACGAGTATATCTGTTTGCGTATTATTATCGTAACTTATCAAAATCAATAATAGAACGTTTGTTGTACCAGCCTAACAGGTTTCAAATGCAAGAATTGTGGGATTACAATATTAATCTATATATTGCGTTGCGTGTTTATGCGGAAGGGCAATTCTAATTTGGTACTCAGAAGGATACTTTTGGTCATTTAATCGATGACATTGAATCGGTCAAGAAGATACAACATGCAAAAATCGTGAAAAATAATCGAGACGATTAGATTTCCTCTTTCTTCAATGTCTTGCGTTTATATTAGTACATAATTGTTCTAATTTTTAGTCATTATCGTTAGGATTTGGATCAATTCTTTTGCAAATAATTTTATGTTAATTGATTATAAATTAATTTAGATTTTTGGGAAGAATACACGGTGTGTTCTAACTAGATGTCATAAAGGAATATAAATTTCACTGTAAGTTTAAGCGTACTTCGTCGAATAATTTTTTACTTATTGTTGCATTTATAATGTACCACATAAAAATGCGCTTAAAAATATAAAAATAAATAAACTCTGATTAACTATATTTTTCGAGACAGACAATTTTATTGCGTGTACATATCGCGCACGTACGTAATGACTTTTCGCAAGTTGCATGAAGAGGGAAGATAGGTGGTCATTTTTTCTTCTTTTGACCGCAGAAAATGCAACCGTAAATTGTTTATTTTAAATATGCAATAATACGTGGCATGATGTGCACCTGACATACAGTCGTTTCAGCGATTATTCGCGATTTATTTATTTTACTTACTGCTAATTTATTCAAAACACGAGTTTGGCGTGTGCCAGAAAGCTGCACAAGCAGTCCGTTAAGTTGAAAAAATTTTCAAAATTTTAGTGCGTTGAGGTATACAAGTAATGACAGAATCCGATGATTGCTATTGTAACGATCCAAAACCACCTGTTAATTAAATTATTCTATCTACTTCTGTGTGTGATTATACACCGCACCAGGACATAAACACTACGTGGTTAATTGTACTTTTACAAGTCATAGTTTTATATTTCTTTCTGCGTTCGTTTTAATTGCATTAGAATATGTGTTTTTCGATGATAGCACAATGTATATAATTGAATTTCTGTGTGAAAATTGGATGGCCCTGAAAGATGCACCCTCGGAAAATCGATGGGAGTTGCTCATGAAATATTTTTAATGTGCGTGCAAGCCTCTAATACAACCGTCATGTTTCTCTTGCATATGGAAAAAAACAAAATATGTGAAAGATATTTTTTATCTACTTGGGATATTTATAATGTACCCCGTATAATATACTTGTGAAGTGTATGTTGAATACGTAATGATACGTGCGGAGGAAATTGTATTTTTTTTCACATCAGAGAACGTTCTAATCTTTAATTTTTCTCTATTGTGACCAGCTTCTTTTGTAGAAATTGTTAATCGACAGAGAAAAATAAATGTCATTTCGAAAACAACGTAAATAACAAATTGTAGAATTTAAGATGTATCGTTTTACATTACCATAGTTTAATTTGTTATAATTTTGTACATTATTCTGTCAATTATTTTTTTTTCAAAAAAAAATATACTTGAAAAAATAAACACAATGTTACATACGTGCTGACTTAACTAGTGAACACATATTTATATATCACCTATACATGCGTATGACTATTGATGAAAAGCTGAGGTGAATACGATGTTCATTGCATCGCCAACAACATTGACAAATAAGATCCTGAAGCATTCATAATCTATAACAATATTATTTATATTATTTATATTAGAAGTTAATATTTTCATAGATGAAATAATAGCAAGAAACGCGCAAAGATGAAATGTTTCATTGAAAATTAATTTGAAGACAAATAAATAAGTTTAATTTTTATATAAAATAAATTTCAGCCGTAAAACCATCGACAAAAATTATTATTTTACATGAAATCTTACGCTTGTAAAAGATACGAAGGAGAGCTCTATTATGGTGCCAGCTGTAAGTGTTAATTGTTTTTGCGATCTCAATATTATAAATAATAATACACGACTATCTTTAGGTCTCAAGGTGTACCACGGAGAATTATACGTTGCCAATCCGATGGCTTTACTCTGCAAAATAAATATATTTTTAACATTATGTTTCTTCACCTTATATTTTATATACAAAACACAAAAAATTATCTAATATAATTTTAATTGCTTATTTTCTAATTAATCTCACAAAAACCTTGTTGCTTAAATATTCTCCAGCGTAGCAATATATAAACGCTTCCAGATTTGTAGTTGTGAAAAATAAAAGACATTTTATAATTAGGTTGACGGCATCAGGAGAGTCAATTGCCTGAAATAATGAAGAAGATAATAATGACGATGTAATAATAACAATATATGCATATTGTTTTATATAATAAATAATGATTGGAACACAATTTTTATGAGAGATTTATATTTTATGATAGATTCTTTGTCTGTAATATATGATTAATTTACTCACGGTTATAATGATAAAACCTAACATACAAATTGATAGTGTATTCGCTGCAAATAAGATCAGAGAGATGTATGTATACAGAGCCTCGATATTTTCTGAAAATTTGATAATTTTTTGATGCTTTCGAATGATTTTATTTATTGCCGTTACAATTGATTCTTCTTTATTTCCAATCTCGCTGATTGTAAGCTTCGATAACCAGCTTTGCAAAATCTCGATTTGTCCTCCTACATGAAAGACCTAAAATGGAAATTCACAATTTTAATTTAGAGTAATCTTTATACACGAAGAATTCTTTATAATCATATATAAAAATTAAAATTAATAAATGTTTTATATTTGAGCATTTATTTCGAAAGAAATATCTTTAGCTTTTAAATATAATGTGCAAAAATTAATTTGCGATTTATATTTGCGCAATTATATAGCGTACAAAGATTCGATGAGATGTCACAATTTTCTGAATTATGCTTCTTCCATGTATTAAAATATAATTTGGATATTCTTTTATATATCTCACATTATATATTTTACATTATATTAAAATTTAATTATTTAAAAGTTCAATTATTATTATTATTATTATTTTATTATGATTATTATTTTATTATTATTCTATTGCCATTAAAATTTTATTATTATTATGATTTTTCCATAATTGTTCATACAGTTGCATCTTACTAATATCAAAATCATGGCGTTCACAAGACCAGATGTCCAGTTAGACATGAACATGTGCAAGAATTCGGCGATTAATACAAATCTGTACATGTTTTGTGTGTTAATGTTGAAAGGAAATTTCATGTTGTTGATGTAAGGCAATTCAGCTGTTTTGGTAACATCGGCATCGGCGAGGATGATTTCGGAACAATATGAAATAACACTTAACGAGTTAAGAAGAATTATTATTTTACTGATACGATCCGATATTTTTGCTTTTTCCATCGTCACATGCACACCGATATCACTATTAGCGCAATCCTTCCAGTCGTCCGCGATTAATGCCATAATTTCCATAAGTTTTCTGTGGATGATTGCGTTCCTTGATCACGCTGCCGAAGTAAAAATTGCAGATTGTCTCTCTAAAAACTGTCATCTCTAACTTATAACAAATAGCATCGGCGCTATTTTTCTTGATCAAAATTTTATCAAGGATATTTCTGCAATTTTCTATCGTTTCTTTTTTTCGAAGCAGCAGTAATGAATCAAATAAAAAGACAATTGCTAAGAGAGATAGTATATCCAATTTTTTGAGTATGATTTTGATTTGATTTGCGGTTATTCAATTACTTTATAGTAGAATTAAATCCGTTAAACAGGTAAGCGATGGCAAAGGAAATTATTTTTAATTATTCTCAATAATCTATATAAATTATATACAACAAGTACAACACCTATTTGTTTTACTTACTGTTGATTTATCCAAAATAGAATAAGTTTAATGATTACTTTGCCATGCGCCAAAGAGGTGCAGAAGCAATCCACCAAGTTGAAAAAATACTGGGAACTTAAATGCGTAAAGAAATAGTAGTAATGACAGAATTCGATGAATACAGCTGCAAAGATCCAAAACATTCTGATAATTAAAACGATCGATTTGCCTGGCCAGATACCACACAAGGGTAGTGAAAACATGATCATCTGACTAACTGTACTTTTACGAGTCATTGTCTTATATTTTTTCTGCGCTCATTTGTATTCCAAGAGCATTAATAAATGTGTAACAGAACTCTTGAGATAACAGAAGAGCTCTGATAGATTTTCGATGACAGCACAATGTTTATCATTGGACATCTGAGCGAGGACTGGGACGTTTTGCAAGATGCATCCTCGAGCAATCGACCAATGAAAATTGCTCATTAAATATTTTTGATATGCGTGCAGGCCTGTGTAATACAATATCGTCGTGTTTCCTTGTAATTATTTGCAGTTAAGAAAAAAAAGTATATGTGAGAGATATTTTTTACATACTTCGGTGACTTGGACTTCATAGTCGTGAAGCGCGTACTTTAAATACGTAATGATACGTGCAAGAGGGGAAATAGACCTTTCTTCTCACAAGAAAATGTCTTCGATTTTTTTCCCTCGTGTCCTTCCGCAGATATCTCATCAAAGAAAAAAAAAACGTAATGTTACACGAACCAACAGCAGCATTGTCCATTGATACGTTTTTCATTGATTTTGTTCTTCTTATTATACATTGTTTTTCTTGTATATTTTTTGCGTAACTTTGGAAGATTTTGAAATATTATTAAGAAGATGCAACCAACCAATCGAAATTTCTCATTAATTATTTTCATATTGCGTGTACATATCGCGCACGTACGTAATGATTTTTCGCAAGTTGCATGAAAAGGGAAGATAGGTAGTCATTTTTTCTTCTCTCGACCGCTGGAAATACAACTGTGAATTATTTACTTTAATATGCAATGGTTCGTGGGGTGATGTGCATTCAACATATAGCCATGTCCGTAATTGTTTGGAAAAGTTTTCGTAATATAGAGAATGAACGCGCGAAAAATACATAAACAGCTAACATCACATTTTACGTTATTCCATTTAGAACAGTTAAAAGCAAGTCTTGTATATATTTCAATATTCTTATATTGTTGAACAAAAATAAACAAATATAAAATTTTATGCATTAAAATATGTGTAAAATAATTTTCTACTATATAAAGATAATTGCAAGAAAAGATAAAATGTGTAAATTAATTTTAATTAATTCTTGCAAATAAAATAAACAATTTGTTTTAATTTAAGTATCAAAAACAAAGAATAGTCTCTTTATTCACGGGAATTATTTATAAATATAAACAAATATATGCTTTGAATATATTTCAAAAATTATTATGACGTTAATTATTTACTTTAATGTGTACTGATTCAATTAAAAGACAATAGATTTTGTGACAACATTTTTTTGCATCTGTATTTGGAAAAATATTTTATATTACAATGTGTTTTTTATTTTAACCAATAATATAAATAACTCTCGATTTTGACTATTATTTGAAAATTAACATTTATCTAACATTATTTTTTATTGCATCGTCAACAATACCGACAGATACGATCCCGAAGCGTTCATGATCTGAAATAATTTTGCTTGTTGTATTAGAAATCAATATACCTATAATTATAATATAAGCATGCACTTTTTAAATTTTAAGATAAAAGCATAATACATATATGCATAATTCTTACGCTTGTGAAGGTTTCTAAGGAGAGATTCATCATTTTTCCCACTGTAAGCGTTAACTGTTTCTGCGATCTTAATATGATAAATAACAAAATACGACTGTCTTTAGATTTCAGATCGTACCATGCACAATTGTATGCTGCAACGCCAATTTCCTTGCTCTACAAAGATATTAACAAAAAAATGTTTGAAATTTATAAATAATTTATTAATATTTCTTAATAACGCATCTATAATATAAGTATAATTTTTAATAATATTCTTTTTAAAAAGTAAGCGCACAATCTTCTTTTTCTCAATTCTTTATTATTATAATATCTATTATTATATCATCTTATAACCTTGCTGCTCAGATATTCTCCAGCGAAGCAGAATATAAACGCCTCGAGATTCGTTATGGTGTAAAATAAGAGGGACTTTAGTATTTGTTCTAACGCATTGGGACTACCGATTGCCTGCGAATATTATATGATTATTTTTGACATTCTATACGTATGACATGTTAATAAAAAGTATATATATGTAAACGGAATATTTATTCATAAAAATATTAAATTTTTAATATTAAAATTTTATATTAAAAATATTAAATTTTTAAAATTTAATAAAATAACTGTAAATTCATATATATTTCATAATATATTATATTACTTATATATAATTACTTGAAGGATTTTAATAATTTTATATTCAACTCACTGTTACGATAACGAAGGCTAGAGAGCAAATCATTATTGTATTTGAGATAAATTGAAGCAACGCAATGTATGAATAGAGACTTTCGATATTCTCTGAAAAACTGATAATTTTTTGATGCTTTCGAATAATTTTACTCGTAATAATGTGATATGGTATACGTTTGTTCTCCTCTTTGCGGGGTACAAGCTGCAATAGCCAGGAACGTATAATGTCGATTTGACCAGCCGTATGTAAAATCTGAAAACAAATCCTGTTGAAATTGATGATTCAACCGATTGATATTCAGCAAAACAAAACATTGCGCGCATAATAGCACCATTAAAATAAATAACAAATTTCACATATCAGATTCTCCATTTAAATTCTTGAATCTATTACAGTTTCAAAACGCATCCAATAAAATTGACTTATCCGAAATTAATTTATTATATGTTATATTAAACTCAACATATTTATTATATATATATATATATATATATATGTGTGTAATACCTTTAAATATATAGATCGCTCTATTCAACTTACCAAAGTCAATAATAAAGAATTTGTTATACCAGCCGCCCAACCGTAAAAAAGCATAAATACAAATTCTATGATTAATACAAATCTGTACATGCGCTGCGTGCTTATATTGAAAGGTATTTCTAATTTGTTAAGTAGAGGTATTTCTGTCGCCTGAGTGACATCGACATCGGCTAAAATAATACCGATGCAATACGCTACAATTGTCGTCGTATGAAGTGTGACGATCGCGTTTGTGATACGATCTGATATTTTTGCCTTGCGTTCTGTTTCACGTATACTGATGACATCGCCATTATCGCAATCATTCCAATCTTCCCTTATCATCGCCAAGATTTCGACGAATTTTCTGTGATCATATATTAGTTAATCGTTCACAGAATGCATTGCAATTTTAATTATCATATTTTGGAAATTTATTTCTTTAAAATTTGTCAGTTTTTGATATTATGAACCAATTTTTGGAAATTCTTATTTATTAAAAATAAAATTAATTATTGACAAGAACGCTAAGATGTGTCAACATATAATAGAGAATATTATATAACTGTATTCTTTCTTCGACAAAATTCTTTTATAGAAAAGTATTTTTTCCAAAGCCTATCAAATTGTATAAGTAAGAATTATTTCTCATGATTTTATAACAAATGAGTAAGAGAAAAATTTTTTGAAGTGTTTTATAGTCTTCCACTTTTAAGAACAAAAATGATTTTACAACTAAAAAAAATGTTTAACTTTACATTAATCCATATTTGTTTTTTGCAGAGTTTTTTCACATTACTTACCGCTGATTGATCCAAAACACTAAGAATTTAATAATCACTTTGGCATACGCGAAGAAACTAGACATGCAGTCCATCAAGTCCATCAGTTCGGCGGAATGTATATGCGTGAGAAAGTAACGATAGTGACAGAATAAAATAAATATCACCGTAATGATCCAACATATTCTGCAGAGTACTATGCACGGTACGCCTGGCCAAACACCGCACAAAGTAAGCATAAACTTCAGCGTGCGATTAAGCGTACTCTTCCGAATCATTTTTTTTCAATTCTGCCTGTTCTCCACGTTCAAGCGAGTCCATCGATGTGTATATATAACGGAATAAAAATTCTCGGGAAAATAAAAAAAAGAACACGCTTCGCTCAGTTATATCCGTTTTCGATGACAGTATTTCGCGGAATATTTGCGCGAGAAAAAATTCTGCGTCTCTTTATGCGAGAGTTCTTCTTCAGAACTGGTTTTCAGTCACTAGCAATTGATCACACGCACGCACGTGATAATCGAAGTTTCTCATTAATTATTTTCATCGTGTTGCGTGCACGTATTGCAAATATATTGTGGGTTTTCACAAGTTTGTTGCACGAAAAGGGAAGATAGGTAGTCATTTCTCCCTCTCTCGACCTTCGTTGGAAATACAACCGCAAATTGTCTATTTTAAATATGCAATGATTCGTGCGGTGGTGGAAACGACAGTGTACATCCAATGCGCAGTCGTGTCCACGGCTCTTCAGTATGAAATATCGAGGTATAGAGAATAAAGTGCCGGAAAGAGAACGAATCAACACATAACGCGACACTGTTTTTCTGCTTATAACAATTAAAAATAAATTTCTGTTACTTAACATACAATTTGTGCGACAAATATTTAAAAAGATTTAGAAGTGTATGGAAGTGTGTGAAATAATCTGCTGCAATCGAAGAAAAAATACGACAATGACACGTAATTTTAATATTTGGTCAATATTATACAGATTCTTACATTTAATGTGGATGATTGACAAGTAAATCGGATGGTCAAATAATATAATTTTATTTAAATCATATGTTCCAAAACTAATTTTTGTATCCTACAAAAATACAAGATTTTAATTATTGATTGCAGATTTTATAAAATATTCTTTTTATTTTAAGAAATGTGAAACTTTGGCTTTATGTTTTTAATATGATAACATATAGATTATATATTCTTTCATTGTTATTAATATTGTTATATTAATATATATCTGGATGCTCATTTTATTCAAGTTTTATTCCTCGGAAAAATAGAAAAATAAATACTGAATTTTATTATAATGTACAATAATAAAAATTTATGTATTGCATTGGTCGATTATGTTAATGCGATATTGTATAGAAAATATGACGCGGAAGAGATTAGGAAGAATTTTTTAATAAGAATTACCGAACTTAAATAATTAATTACAACAGAATATTAAGAAACTGTGATATTTATAATATTAAATTGCTCGCACTTTTGCATTACTTTTTCACTTATCATTGCGATAAAAAACTTAGCGAACAAATAATATAGTATTTAAAATTGAAATATAACATGATGTATGAACAATCTGAAAGATTTTGATACTTGTCGATAAAATAATGATTTTCTGATGTCTCCGAACTATTTTATTCGTCGCGACTGATTCTCATTTCTATAATATGCAAGTTCTATCAGCTGCAGCTAAGCATCAATCAGAAACGCATAATATCAATTTGACCAGTCGTAAGTCTAAACATAAAGATCTCATTGTGTTAATAGAATCGAATTGTGGAATTCAAATGTATGTGGAATAACTGATATTCAAAAAACGAAATAAATGCATATTGTGCGAGATAACACAATCAATTTCTGCATCTATTGTATTGAGGTTTCAGAATTGCGTACAATACAATTGCTACATCCACCAAATCCAATATTATCTTTCCAATTATGTGTAGTTTCGAATTTCGCTCAATTTTATTTTCAACTTACTAAAGTCAATATCAAAGAGTTTGTTTCATCAGTCAACCAGCCGCAAAGAATCAATTGCGTGATTAATGAGAATCTGTATGTGTGTGTACGTTGCGTGTTTATGTTGAAAGAAATTTCCATGTCTCTTTGGCAGAGAAAAGAGAATTTTGCGGTATTAACATAGGTCAGGATAATACTATGATGCAGATTGCGAGAATTCTGCACCATTTATTTGAATTATTCGCATTTTTGCACGTTGATTTATTGTTTATGCAATTATTCCATTTTTATATTACTTTCGCCAAAATAAATTTTCTGTGAATAATTGTATTTATCGATCATATGTTACCAATTGCAAGAAAAATTTAATTTTTGTCATAAAAATTAATTTCTTTACAGATTTGTCATTTGTAAATATTACAAATTAATATTTCTAATGTTTTTCAGACATCAAGAAGTTTCTTATTGATAAATTATTATTATTATACGGATAAAAATAATTATAGATGTGAATTTAACAAAATTTTGGGACAATTTTTCATCTTCTTATCTAAAGCTGTATTATCACATATATAAAATAATAAAAATGTATTGTTTAATGTTTTTTTATATCTTAATAATATATCTTACATATTAATTTTATTAAAATTTCTAACTCTATTATATTTTTGAGAAAAAATGATACGAGTAAGTCTTCTGAATGTTTTCTATAATTTTTAAGTTATACATTTTCTTGATGTAACTTTAATATAATACTTTTTTCTTGATATAATCCATGATGGAGACGTATATTAATTAAAATATTTTTGCAAAATATTCTCAGTGTTGTATAACTAATATATATACATTAAATTACTTTTTAATTAAATTAAAGTAAAAAATTTATAATTATTTTAGAGTGTGTAAGAAAACTAGGCAAACAGTTCGAAATCCGCTAGAAATCGATATTGATGAAACATAATCATTGTAAGAATCTGAATATTTTGTATAAAATATATGACGCATCTGATTAAATACTGCAGTAAATACATAAATTTCAATGCACGTTTAAGCATACTTTTACAAGCCATATTTCTTATTTCTTTTTGCCTTTGTCAGCTGATGCAAGTGAGAAGGTATAAAAGTGTAAAATATAACAGCAGAAAAATCGAAACAGCGGAAAAATAAAAGTAATATACTCGCATTAAATGTATATCTTGATGACAACTTTGCAGAAATTTTATAGTTCAGAGAACTGAAAAAAAATTAAAACAATTAAATGCGATACCAGAAAAATTGATGTTACTTATTTGCTTATAATTGAAAAATTTGATAATTAATATTTTATATAATATGATATTAATATTTTAATAAAATATTACTTTTTAATTATGCAAACAGTTTTTAACATTAATTTTTCTTAATATAAATTTTATATATATATTTATATCTCGAATATTATGATTTCTTTATCCAGCAATTTTTAGTTATAATATTGGAAGCACATAAATATAAATCAACGGTACATATACAACCGCTCTGAAAGAATTAAAATGATATAACTTTAAAAGTTATTTTTAATTATCACGATTATAACATATATTGATATAATATGATTATTATTGTATGATTTCTGGAAAATATTGGGATTTAAATTAAAATATCGTGATATAAGCAAAAAGTAACGGCTCATATCATTTTATATTTTTCTAAAAATTACTATCTTTTTTTAGAACATATAACCATGAAAATATTATATTTATCACTAGTGAAGATATATTTACACATTACGATATATGCCTCACGACTATTGTTTAAAAATCTTTAAACGCACGATGTTTATTGCATGGCCAGCAACACTGACAAATATGATCCCGAAGCTTTCATAATCTATAAAATACGTGCTTTTTGTATTAAAAATTAATATTTTTCAAATTATAATCTTACAAAGAAGGATGTTTTGAATATTACTATAAAAAGTTTATGTACATAATATATCAATATAAAAAGATTATAAGTCAATATATAAATTTATATAATTAGTAAGTAAATTATGTAGAAAAATATTTTTGATATAAGTATCTTATGTATTATTGTCCATAATTTTTCTACGTATAAATCTTACGTCTGTAAACGATTCTAAAGAGAGATCCATAATTTTTCCGACTGTAAGCGTCAATTGTTTCTGCGCTCTTAATATGATAAATATCAAATTACGACTATTTTCAGGTTTCATTTCATACCATGCAGAATAATACGCTGCATTTCCAATAGCTCTGCTCTAGAAAGGTAAACATGATTAAGGAGTTGTTCAAATATTTCTTTTAATTTGCCAAACTCGCAAGAAAAAATTATCGATCATTATCCCCATATAGCTGACCTTATTTTTCAGATATTCTCCTGCATAGCAAAATATGAACGCTTCGAGATTTGTCACGGTGTAAAATAAAAGAGTTCTCATTATTAGCTCGACCGCGTCGGGGCTGCCAATCGCCTGCAATACCAAAATGCGAGCAATTAGTAAGATAAAACATTATTATCTTCGAAATCGTAAGTATTTTTATAGCTCTAATGTACTTGAAAATCCAGAGAAATTATTTTTAGATAACAAGATTGTAGAGAACTAGAAATCATGGTGGATCAATTTTATAATATTATGAATATCCGTTCTCTTATGAATTATAAACATTTCTTTTTACTTACTGTTACAATGAGGAACGCCAATGAGCAAATAAGCACCGTATTTAAAGTGAATTGCAACAGTGCGATGTACGTGTACATATTCTCGATGTATTCCGCGAATTTGATGACTTTCTGATGCTTTCGAATAATTTCATTCGTCGTGACACCCAATTCGCCTCCCTCTTCGTTATTCTTGATTACTAACTTGGTCAACCAGCAGCGCAGGATGTCCATTTGGCCGCCTAAGTGTAGAATCTGAAAATAACAATCCCATTAAATTGACTAAAGTTTCAGGAATGTTATGTATAGACAATATAGACATCGAAAAAAATTATTACAAGGCATAAATTTTCTTACCAAAGTTAAAAGCAGAGCGTTCAGTAAACCAGTCCCACAGCCGGACAGGATGAGATGGACAAATTGTACATATAGCAGTGTTTTATACCTTTGCTTCGTATTTATGTCGATAGGAAGAACCACCTTAAGAGGAGAGGTAATTCAGACTGATGATCGTCGATGTCGACATCGGCCAAAAAAACGCCGATGCTATATCCAACGATGGTTAATGTGTGAAGTGTGAACATTGCATTAGTAATACGACCTGCCAATTTTGCCTTGCACCTTGTTTCGCGCATATTAATGTCGCTATTGTTGCAATCGTTCCAATCTTCCTCCATTATCATTAATATTTCGGCGAACTTTCTATAAATGAATATAACAGAATCATTGATTATTGCCGGTTGCCGAAAAAAGTTGTATATTTCTAAATCTAAATCATAAGAAAGGCGTAAAGAGCCATACGCGGATGTTTTCTACGTACATTTCCAACAAAACTAAATTTTCGTATATTTCTTTCATTACAGAGACTCTTGTGTCTCTAAAGAATCAATCTAAATAAATTGCAAATGTAGGCGTGCGATTATTTTCGAGAGTATGTATCACGCCATCATATTATTGTCGCCTTGTCGTCTCGTCCTCGTGTTCGATTATTTATTTATATTTATGTTACCGTGTGCGAATAATAAGAGGTTTGATCCGTGTAGAAAATAACAGATGCGACCGTTCGAAAACAAACCAGAGCACGGGTTAGTTGTCGCTTAGCGATTGGCTCAAGTATGATAGGAAGGGATTATTAGGGAAATTAGGAGCGATATAAGTATCAGCGATTTTGGTAGACGGACACAGAACGCTCTCTTTTTGGACACACTCTCTCTTACGATCGAGGACCGCCGAGGTCGGAGCGACGGCGAAGAGACAAGGGAACATTTAGCATTTGGACGACAAGAGGCACCTTGAGTTCGCAATAAATATATTATACTCTAATCTCAATTCCTTATTTGATCCGGATTCTTTCCTGACTAATTAACCGGTCTCCTTACATATATATCTATTTTCTCCACAATCGTTTATCGGCCTACAGTAAATCAGAAGTGGGATCGAGGCGTTGCACCCGGTTTCGCGAATTCGGCCTGGGAGAGGCGATTCGGGAGTTCGCGATACGCGTCGAGTGTGGGACGCGCGGGTTGAGACGATCAACGCATAGTGATCTTTGGGTTGCGCGAGTGTTGGGGACATCGCGGAGTGCCCGAGGAACCGATCGAGCAAATCTGAGGGACGATGGCGGAGTCGATGCAGCCGAGTGATTTCACCATCGCTGAGATGAAGGAGGCTCTTCGCGAGAAAGGACTGACCTTGGGAGGGTCGAAGGCCGAGCTCATCCAGCGCCTGAATGCCAACGATTCAGGCGTATGGGCGAGATTGAGCGAGCAACGGAGGCAGGAGAGATATTCGGATGGCATCCCGGCTTCAGGAGGTGTGCGTTCACCCAGTGAACAGGGTGACGCCATGGAGATGGAGACCGTGGACGATACGCCGAGACGAGGAGACCGAGTGAGGATGACGACGCCGGAACGGAGAGAGCACGACGACGCGACGCAGGCGGAACTCTTGTTACTGCGTCGAGAGCGAGAAATTTTGGAGAGAGAGCGACAGTTGCTCCAAAGGGAAATAGAGATGATGAGGAGTGCAGCCTCGACACCGACGATAACGAACGGCAGCGTCATTTCTGCGTTCGGCGGTGTGAGAGGAATCAAGGAGCTGCTGCCTGAGTTTGACGCGACGGACAGCACCTTTTGGAGATGGAGGCAGCAGTTGGAGCTGCTGAGACGCACGTACCAGTTGGACGAGAATTCAGCGAGAGTATTAATTAGCTCTCGGTTGAAAGGTCGTGCGTTGACGTGGTTCTACTCCAAGGCCGAGTATGTGACGCTGGACCTGGAGGACCTTCTGCGGGAATGGAGTCGATGTTCGACCTGCGGCCAGGAAAGCTGACACTGAGGAGAGAATTCGAGGCTCGTGTGTGGAAAGGAGACGAGCAATTCTGCGATTATTACCACGAAAAGGTGATTCTCGCAAATCGCGTACCAATCGCGGAAGACGAGCTCCTCGATTACATCATCGAAGGAGTGACGGATCCTCGGCTGCAGAGTCAGGCGCGCCTGATGAACTTCCAATCCGGAAGAGAATTATTGAAGGCGTTCGAGAAGGTGGTCCGAGGGAATCCAAAGAGACCAGACGTCCGGCCAGGGAGAGACGGAGTGAGGACAACCAGCGGAGTCAGAGCAGAGGCGGCGACGCGGGGAGGCCCGACGAGGTGTTATAAGTGTCGTGAAACAGGCCATACCGCGGCCAGTGCGTGCGACCGCAAGCGAAGCGAGCGTGTTACGTGTGCGAATCTCCGACCATTTCGCCAGAGAATGTCCGAAGCGAAATCGGTCCGCGGCGTCGGAAACGCCGAACAGCGTTGCGCAAACTACGTCGATGAATGTCGTGCAACCGGTTGCATTATTAAAACCATACATGATCACTGTAAAAATCATAACTGAAAATGAAAATAAAGGGTTTGACAATTACGTGGTGGACGCAATCATAGATTCGGGTTCTCCGATAGTTTGGTGAAAAGCGAGATATTCAGGGCGATTCACGTCTGCTCGAGAACGAGAGCATCGATCAATTTTGCGGAATCAACGGCTCGCGGTTGAATATCGACGGCATCGTTCACGCCGACTTAGAGGTGAGAGGCGTGCGGTTGGAAATGAAGTTTTACACGGTGCCTCATAATACGATGGCGTATAGTGTGCTACTCGGTAGAGATTTCTTGAATTGTCCGTCGCTGCGTGTTACTTTAGGGCAAGATCTTGAAATTGCAAGCACGGAAGAAGCGCGCGTTATTAGCCAAACGATGCATATTGAATGCGACGATGGTGTTGTACATCCGAGCGAAGAGTTGAAAATTAATCCGGCGGTTGACAAGGATACATCCGAAAAGATCCGCGAGATCTATGAATCCTATTATCTAAATAATTTTCGAGCGGAGAAATGCGCGCCGGACTTCGAGATGGTTATCGCACCGAAACATGAACAACCGATAAGTATGCGCCCGCGGAGATTATCGGTCGCGGACAAGGAAATCTTACGCGAGATTGCGACGAGAGACACCGACGAGAATATAGAGCCTGTTTTGAATTATCCTGTACTACGTAACATCAGGGACGTACATAGGTTCGTCGGATTCGTGAATTATTTTCGTCAATTTATTCCGAGATTTTTATTGGTGGCAAAACCATTGTACGATTCGATTAGAAAAAACTCTGTCTTTAAGTTTAGCCGTCACCTGTTTGTTGTCATTGACGCGTTCGCTAAATTTATCCGGCTCTACCCGCGTAAGTCGACAGCATCGGAGGAATCGATAAAGTATCTCTGTGAATATTTCCGCGTGTATAGTAAACCGAAACGTTTAATTTCGGACAGAGGAACTTGTTTCACATCTGACGTATTTAAGAGATACTTGGAATCCGGTGCCATAGAGCACGTATCAATCGCTGTGAGCACGCCGAGAGCAAACGGACAGGTGGAAAGATTTAATAAAATGATAACTGGTATATTTGCGCCCGACCAAATGCGTCCGTATATACGTGCATGACGATGCATTCTCTTGTAAAGGAATTTTGTTCAAATTATATTTTATTTTGTTCTATTTTATCGTTTGACCGAGACGGCCAAAATGTCAGAATGGCCGAACTGTAGGCGTGCGATTATTTTCGAGAGTATGTATCACGCCATCATATTATTGTCCTTGTCGTCTCGTCCTCGTGTTCGATTATTTATTTATATTTATGTTACCGTGTGCGAATAATAGAGATTTGATCCGTGTAGAAAATAACAGATGCGACCGTTCGAAAACAAACCAGAGCACGGGTTAGTTGTCGCTTAGCGATTGGCTCAAGTATGATAGGAAGGGATTATTAGGGAAATTAGGAGCGATATAAGTATCAGCGATTTTTGTAGACGGACACATAACGCTCTCTTTTTGGACACTCTCTCTTACGATCGAGGACCGCCGAGGTCGGAGCGACGGCGAAGAGACAAGGGAACATTTGGCATTTGGACGACAAGAGGCACCTTGAGTTCGCAATAAATATTTATACTCTAATCTCAATTCCTTATTTGATCCGGATTCTTTCCTGACTAATTAACCCGGTCTCCTTACATATATATCTATTTTCTCCACAATCGTTTATCGCCTACACAAAGTAAAAATTATAACGACATGGTTAACGCCTTAAACAAAAATTCAATAATTCTCATCTTTCTGTCTTCGAATAAATATATACATTGATCGCGGCAGAAATGAAAGAAATGAGAATTATATATAAAAGGCATTTTATGTGTATTCTCTCGTATTC